ACAGAAAAAGAAGTCAAGTTTCCCAACCTCATGCTTAAATGCCATGTTGCATTTGTGATTCATATACGGTGGTATTTCTGAGGAAGTGTTTTGGAAGTGTTAGGTATCTTTTGATTCTCCAAATGGAATCTTAATTAGAGAAAAACGCCTTAGCATCATATGATAGCCCAGGCTGTGCAGGTTGCGATGTCTAAGGCCAAGTAATGGATCCTGTGATGCATTTCTGAAGCTTTCCAATTCCCAGTGAAGGTGTTTGGGCACATGTCTTAAGTGGTGGCATTATTTGAGTCTCTCTCTGTCAGCTGGTTTTTCAGATAAGGAAACATCTAATGAATGTAATTATATATAGCACGTAAAAAGAGAGAGATTTTATACCGTTCCCTGGCAAAAAGTCTTCATTTTGTTGAAGTCATTGACAGGTTTACTGTTGTGTTGTAATTTTACCTGTGACTTTAGTTGTGTCACTCCTGATGTAGGCTGATGGAAATGAAGTCAGAGTAAGGCCTGGTTTTAATTTTTTTTTCTAAATATTTCCTCAACATTTGTTGTGGTTAGGTGCTGACAGTCTGCTAAGTGTTGTACAAGATCCAAAGGAAGCAGTACTTGTCCTTAAGAGCTCACTCATTCAAGTCCTCATAATGTTTACCCTTACTCATGTAAGAAATCTTTACTTTCAGAAAGAATCTCCTTACAGAAGGTGAGAGTGCACTCATATAGAGGAAGGTTTCCCACTGGGAGCTGGGATCTGGTAGTCCAAAATTAGTCTGTGGTGCAAACTAAGTACTCCTTTTTAGAATCTAGAAATGTCTTATTCAGAACATATTGAGCAGAAATGTTGCTAGCACTTCAGATTTTCATAGAAAGCACAACTTTGACAATATATTAAGGGGAGGCACATTTTGAAATTACTATCCTCTTAAAAAGAGAGAGAGGGAGGGAATGAGAGAGAGGGAGGGAATGGGAGAGAATGAGAGAACCTGTTGCCAAGACTGTAGTATAAATCTGTGCTATTAATGGCTTTGGTGTACCAGTTTCATGGGAGTTATTTTGATAATCCAGTATTGTAAGAATATGAAACAACCTCATTCCAGAGGCAATGTTGTCAGATTTCTATTTCTGGTATTTTTTTGTGACCTTAGTGTTAACAGATGTGATGTTACTTAAAAGGTAAGTGCAGACTTAACATGATAGAGAGGACTGAAGTTATTTCCCATTGTTGTTTTTTATATTATATTTTTTAGCATTTTAATAATTGTTCAGATGTAGAGTATGTGTGCTGGTCACAGCCATCAGTTCTAAGGTGTAAATTTGTTTCAGTGAGGTCCAAGCATGCTCTGACTCTTGAATATTGCTGAAGCACTGTCAATTTAATGAAAAAGAGAGATGTAAAAAACAAGGCATTCATTGTCAAGATTATTTTCTGTCTTTTCCTTCCTTTTCCTTTGTTTTTCTTTCTCTTTCAGTCTTTTTTCTGTCTCTTTTTCTTCTTACTCTAGCAGCTAAAGAAAAAACCCTTGAAAACATGAATCTAAAGTGACTTAGAAAGAAAAACAATTAAAAACAATTAAAAAGAACATTGAATTTGAATACCTTAAAGCTGGTCCCAGTGAATTTATGGGCCCAATCTGCAAGGCTGGAGGAGCTTGGCAGCTGGGCCACATTTACAGATGGGCGTAACTAGGGCTCGCTTTTGATGCTAATGTTGGAAGCCCAGTTGGGCTCAAAGTCATTCATTGGGATTTTCTAAATCCTGCTAGTAATGCTTGGTTTTCTGAAGTGTGAACTTTTAAAAACTTGTTCCACAGTTTGTTTACTTCATTCTTACTTAAGTATCAGTGGAGATACCTAGACCAACTGATTTAACTTTCTGGTTGTCATGAACTATGACAGATTTTATGTGCTTGAATTGTAAATGTTGAAGCCGCACGAAATAAGGCGAAAACTTTCCAATCCAAGCAAAATAATTTAGCTTAAAAAATAAAAATAATGTTCTTGTGGGCATGAAACTTTTTTAGAAGTAGGTGCATGAAACTTTATTAAAAAATAAGCTCTGAAGATGCCACTCTAATAGTCATATTTTACTGTGGTTGTTCATGTTAGGAATGTGTTTTTTCAGGTGTTGCACTTCTTATTGTATCATACTTGATGGACGGATGTTCAACATATAATACTGTTGGCAGAAATCCCAGTTGAGACAGGTTTAACTGGTGTAATGCATATTGACTCAGCGTATGATGACTATATTGTAATTATGTCCAAATGCCACAGGCAAGAATGTTCAAAATCAAATATTTATAGCTGTTTTCCTCTTGTAGCTCTTTTCCTCCCAAAAGTTTTGCTTGGTGTTTGGATCAGTTTGTAGAGCTGCTTGAGAAATTAGAGTATTGAGGTTACTGATGAAGTAAGCAAAGCTTGTGAGTATGAACACATATGCTGTGCTGTAGAGTTCAAGGGCTGTAAAGGCAGTATCAAGGATCAGAAAAATCTGTAGGGGAGGAGAAGTGGTGGGGTTTTATCTTCAGGATGTTTCTGATGACTTTAACTAGACTTTTGGTTAGCTCTTATTACTATCAGCCACAAACCTTGTTATACAGCATTGTTGGCGCCTGTTAGAGGTGAGGTCTAAAGCTGAATTAATATACAAGCTAGATGTTATTCATTCTCTAGCAGAGGTCACTGGTAAGAGGATACTGCATTACTGTGCTATTGGCAACATACATTTTAATTCAGAAATAAAATGGATGTGTAGCTGTTAGGTGGCTTTTCCTTGGTGTGTGTGGTTGTGAGGCCACCTCCCTCATGCACTGCTTGTTGACTTTTCCGGGTACAGGATAATCACTAGGTCATTTGTTCTGGAGGAGTACTGTCATTTAACGTGATTGTAATTAGGCAAGAACTAGGTTGACTCTGAGCCACCAAATTGCCCTAGTGTCTATTTTTTAACTTGGAGTGAGCACTTCTAGGCACCCTCTGGATTATCTCACATAGCTCTTTAGGGTTTAAATAGCAACCACATCTAGTTAAAGCAAATAATGGAAAAAGTTGGTGTTCCATCCACTCTTGTTACTGACAGTTATCAAGATCCGGGAAACAGGTATTTGCATTTACTTTTATTCTGTGGTTTTGGCTTAACAGGGCAATAAGGCTGAGATGGCCTTTTTGTTAAACATACAGTCTTTGGGATGCTTTTACCATTTTGCATCAGAATTTTTTGAGATTCCTCATCCTGAACATGGGGTTTCTGTTGTTGGTTTAGTTTTGTTTTCTTGCTGTTGTTTACTGGCTAGTGCAGGGAATGTGGCATTGTTATTCCTAATCTTAATTCTCCCGCTGACCGGTCATAGAGTATTGAATAAGTTGCTTCATAGTTTTGTGCTTGAGTTTACTTTCAAAGCATCTTATGGTGGTAGTATGAGTTAAGTGATTTAAGCTGTTCAGATACACTAAGATCCTGGGTAAAAAAATAGTATATAATTTAGTAATGACAAAGCAAAAGGATTACTGATTGGTTGTTTTGATTTTTAGGGTTAAAGATGTATTTTAGTTTGTTCAAATTCATAAACTCTATTCACTGCTAATCTTGTTTCTTCACTTCATTGATACTGGATCGTCAGTGATTGCAAACAGGTGGAAATGTAATATAAACTAGGCTATGAGGCTTGAAACTGTTTATCTATTTGGGTAGCTATATATAAAGTGTCTTTAAAATGATCAGTTCATTGAGGTGGCAAATGAAAAAAAAATCTTTGCTGGTCTGAAAATACTCTTTTCATCAGACACATTTGGGTAGGTGATGTGATTTGGGTAGGTGTGGTATTTTCATGTAGCTGTAAAGGAAGTAGCTCTGTAGGCATTGCTGGCTATGGTCCGTTCCGTCCTCATATGTCTTTGTGCAGCCCCCGTGGACTCGTGCGGTGGCAGGTGTGTAGCGGAGGGCAGCATGTGGCTCTCTATTTATTTTGCTTTAGTGCTTTGGACATTGGAGAGAGGGGGGAGAGGGAGTGTTAAGGCGGCAGAATGGGCGAGCTTATGAGAAAGCAGAACACTTGCCAAATTAATAATAAAGAAATTACATTGAAAATGTCCCATGATCCCTAGCTTTAAT